CTAAAAAAAAAAAAAAAAAGAAAAAAATCAAACCTAAACCATGAAGACTATTAATACATCTGTCTAAAATAAAAACTTAATATTTAGTTTAAAAGTAAATAAACAAACAAGGGACAACAAGAGGAGATAGATGTAAAATGTGTAACAAAGGGCTCTTGTAAAAGTCCATCCAAAAACCAGTACTTCCTTTGGTTTTACCTTGACATTTTTTTATCATTAGGTGACTCTGAGTATCTTTTCATGCTCATTGTCCATCTGTATTTCTTCTTCTATTACTGGCCTGTTCGTAACCTTCACTCATTTTTCTACTGAATTGTCTCCTTTTCTTCCTGATTTTATGGGAATTGTATATAGTTTGTAATTATTCTCTCTCCTATCCATCTCTACTAATCATCCCATCAGTATTCAAACATTAATCTAACCAATCTTAAAAAACAACACATACATGACAACCAACTCTCTTTCTTCACTCTTCAGCTCCTCCAGTTACCACTTCCTTTACTGTGAAATTTCCTGAAGGGGCTGTGTATTCTTGGTCAGTTTCTCATCTCATTCACTCTTCTGCCATATACTTCTTCATGGGAATGGTTCTCGAAAGGGCCACCCACCTTCATCTTGACACTTCTCAATGGTGTTAATACAAGTGACCATGCACTTTGTGGGATTCGATTATGCTCTTCTAGCTTTCCTTCTACCTTAATGATTACTCTTTTCAATTTCCTTCGTTGACCTCCTCCTTTATTAGACCTTTCACTGTTGAGGTGTCCAGAGCCAAAATTTCTCTTCTCTGTTTAAACTCCCTTCATACTTGGACCTTATTCAGTCCCTGGCTTTAAACATCTGATGCTGCTGTTTACTGTAATTATCCCCAGCTGCTTATATTCAACTTTGACCTCTCCTTTGCATTTCAGACTTGTATCCCATTTACTTGTCTACAAGACATTTCTACGTATCTACCAGAGATCTCGAACTTAACACATTTTAAAAAAAGAATTCCTAATTCCCAGTTCTTAACTCCCCCTACTCCCACAATTTGATTCTGCCTCAGTAAATGACACCAATGAGCCTGGTGGCCCGGTGGTTAAAGTACTCAGCTGCAAACAGAAAGATTGGTGGTTCCAAACCCACCAGACTTTTTCAAGCAGAAAGCAATCTACTTCCATAATGATTTACAGCCTTGGAAATCACCTAGGGCAGTTGTACTTGGTCCTACAGAGCCACGATGAATAGGAATCTAATTGATGGCAGTGGGTTTGGATTTTGGAAATGACACCATTAGTTATGAAGTCGCTTAAGCCAAAAATAAAAACATTCTTCTTAGTTTTTCTCTTTGCCTCACACTATTCAGCCTTTCTCAACTGCAGTTGCACGAGAGAATTAAGCCCTACTTGTGCTGACATATTCATTGTACACAGTGGATTAACGTCTTGCCTATGCATATATTCTAGAACAGTACCAGTTATGCACCATCTTTGGGAGGATTAAGAAAATACTCAAACAGTTATCTTCTGTGTTCTCTGCTTCAGATGGAAACTTGAGTCAAGAGTATGCCAACCTATGAGCAAGTTTCTCAACTGACTGTTTCTAATCTAGAATAAATGACAGTATTTCATACAAGCTGTAGTAATAAGTTCCTTACTGGTCTCCTAACTCCCAATCTCACCAATTTTCAGACTCATTTAGATGTAACAATCAAAGTAATCTTTGGACAGGCTAAATTAGATAAGAAACATGCCACTGATTTTTATTCTCCAGGGACTTCCTCCTGAAATCAGAATAAAATTCAAACTCCTAATTGTGGTACTACAAGGACCTACCCAATCCAGATGCAGTCCCACCGCTCTCAGTTCATCCCCTACTATCCTCTCTTCTTTGCTTTCTTTGGTATATTCAGCCATACTGGTTTTCCTTTGATCCTTCAAACATGCGAAGCAAATCCTACTGAGGTGACTGTGATTTACTCAGAACACTGATTCCTCTAGAACTTTGCATGGCTCCCACTTCCTGTCCTTCAGATCTTGGTTGAAATGTCTGTTCAGAGACTTTCTCTCACTAGCCCAGCTAAAACAGCATGTTCCTCACCTGGTCCTTCCCCACCTCACTACTATTCTTCCTTCAAAGTACTTATTACCACTGAAATTATCTTCTTTTGCTCATGCGTTTTAATGTCCAACTCTCGCCACATGAATTAAGATTCATTAGGCTAAAGGTTTTGCCTAGTTTACTGTCTGGCACAGAGTAAACAATCAAGAAATGTTAGCCCTTTCTAGCATATAATAGAAAATATAAAGTATCCATTTTAGGTGTCAAAAAAGGTGCATTTGTAGTCTTGATTCATTGGAAGAGAGACATTAAAACACTGTTGTTCTGAAATTAAGTACTAGCTTCCCAAATGGCATGTGAAGAAATGGCGGTAATAAGAACTTTCTCACTTACAGTTTCGTATGTAACAACTGGCAACTGATGACTTTGCCAGGAGCTCCATTCCCAAATCCTGTAATCTGCCAGAGTTTTCCATTTCGCACACAGCCAGAGCTGCCTGGTCAGCAGAAAAAAGGTTTGTCTGCATGTCTCCAGAAGCAGCGTTGCTGCTTTTTATTTCTGAAGGTGTGTTCTTTACATCAGTTTTCATACATCGAACTTCAGCCATTTGAGTTTTGAGTCTTTTTAGCATCTTTAAATCAGAGGGAACGCGCCACATCGCCTGCTGCTTCCTTTGATCTTTATCTTTTCGAGAATATGATGCTTCAGAGAGAAGGTGACAAGTCATGTTAATACAGATTCTGACATTCATGAAACCATTTTGTACCCTGAATATATGCAAATCTGATGTGTACATAAAGTGCCTGAGGTGGTATCAACAATAAAAGCATGCATTAAATTCCACCAACGAAAATAAAAGTATCCTACTTTATTCACACCTTCAAGGTTAGAATCTGGGTCAAATCTTAATTATCTATTTAACTCTAAGAAATTAAAAGCTATCCTGCTGACTTGTGCTTTCTTCCCTATAGTTCTTGCCTTTTCTCAAATTTTTTACATTAGCTTTCTATTACTTTCAAAATTAAAGGGGAAAAAAAAAAAAACCCCTAGAAGCTGAACATTTAGTTCAATCTGAGATTTATCATTCTAACTAAATTTAAAAAGTTGATTTACTAAACTATTGCCCAATGTTCATATGCCATGAAACATCATCAAAGAAACATTCTCAAAACAAAAAATGTAGAAACTGTTGAATGGAAAACCAATTTGCTCTATAAACCTTCACCCAACCACACACACAAAAAAAAATTCCATCACTGAATCTTTGCAGCCACTAAAGTGAGTTGAAGAAATAGTTGAAGTTGTTTTTAGTTTCTTCTCCCTCTACCCAAGTTTAGAAAGCAGAGGCAAGGCACAAGCAAGAAAAATACACGCTCTTGTTCTATTCAGAAAGGGAAAAGAGGTAGGCTATTTTGGCTACATAAGAACATTATGGCTGACTTAAAGCAAAAAAGAAACTAAACCAATTTTAAAACAGGAGAGGTACCCTAGCTAGACCATAAACAAATCCTTTATTAGCAGGAACGAGAGCTGAACTCCAACATGCATCAACCTTCTGCCTCAGAGAAGATGTACAGTGAAAGTAGACACTGCACTTTGCCCAAAAGTCCTTCCCCGACATTTCTACCTTACCAAAAGGACCCCAGGTTATACTCTGGCACTCGAGGTGGACAGTAATGGATTCAGAGAAGTTAGGTCCTTCCTTCATTTCCAAAGGATATGGTCTATGACCAATTCCTCTTAGTTCATGAGGTGGGTAGGTGACCTGGTTCTAGACAAAGTCCTTTGGGGCACTTCTGGGAATGATCTTCTACCATTATAGGAAATTTATTATGTTTATTTATTCAACAAACTCTTTAGAGCTTACTATATATCAGACATTTTAAAACAATACAAAGTCATTAAATCTTTCTAATCAACTTTATGAGGTAAGTACAATTATGATCTCCATTTTATAAATGAAGAAACAGACACAGAAAGGTTATATAACGTACTCAAAAGTAAAACAGCTAATAAGTAGAGGAGCCTGAATTCAAACCTGAGTCTGTCTCCATAGTCAGTGACCTTAAATAACTTTAATATTAATAACTTCGCTCTGTTTGTTGCAGGAAAGTCTCTTCTCTGTCCAATCTTTTTCTTCCTGCTAGTGATAGTTCCTGGGAATTCATGATGCCTGGAGCTATGGCAGATATCTTACTGCCATGAAAGAAAAGGCAAACGATTCACAGGGAGGCCCATTCAGTGCCTTGCCTTCAAGGACACAATCAATTTGGAATCACCTACTTCCGTATGTGTGCCAGGTGCCTTTATTATTTAACCCACTATTAATAGCATTTTTTTTTACATGAAGTGGAAAGCATTCCTAACCAAGTATCAGCAGATTTTTAGAAACCCACGGTTTAGTCACAGATCTGTTTAGTCTCAGACTATTTCATAGTTGGAACTTTCTGTTAAGTCTTTTAAATTCAGAGTCAATTTAATTGTTTGTAAAATTAAAATAATATACCTGAAACAGGGTTGTTGTGAAGCTGAGAAGAGTTAATATGTGTGAAAGCATTCTGCAGAATTTTAGGCACTATGCAAATAGAAGATGTTGCTGGTACTATTCATCAGTGTAATTCCATCCAATCCCTCATCCATGAAGCTGCCAGAGCAATTTTCGAAAACCCAATCAGATGTCATTGCTTCCCTGCTTAGGAGCCTCATGTGGCATTCTACAGCATTTATGAAAGTACCTGGCATGGTACACAAGGCCCTACATTACCTGATTCTACCTTCTCTCTCAATCTCTTGGCAGCTTTACCTTCTACTTCTACCCCAAATGTACCCCAATCTTCTAGAATTACTTGAAGCTCTTGTTATACACCAGCCATACTCTATCACACTTCCATGATTTTCACATGTCCTATTCCCTTTGCTCTCTCTGCCAACCCAAACTCATCATACATAATCTGAAATTTCCCTTCTTCCCTGATAAAACAAACTGCTCTCTCTTAAGCCAATTTTCCTTATCTAAATTTGTATAGTACACACAGTACACTTCTATTGCAGCACTTATATTACAGTAGAAAAGATATGTAAACCATGAGCAACATAAGGTGGCCATCAGATCTTAGGGATGTTAGTATTTCAGGCTGAACTCGGTCTATGAGACAAAATATTAGTTAAACAAAATCTTTGGGGCCCTCACCTCCTATATCACATCTGTGCGAACTTATATATAAAAATCTGTATTAACCCACATGGTTCAGTTTTATTTTAAGAAACAGACTGAAAAAAAAAAAAAATCAAAATCCAAAATGATAAAAATACAACATTTGAACAACCAAATAAACAAACTTCCTTGAACTGAAATTAAACCCACTGCCATCCAGTCAGTTTTGACTCATAGTGGCCCCCCCCCCACTGGATTTCCAAGGCGGTAAATCTTTACAGAAGTAGATTGCTTCATCTTCCTTCTGCAGAGCAGCTTGTGGATTTGAACCATCAACCTTCTAGTTAGCAGTCAAATGCCTTAGGAACTATGCCTCCAGAACTCCTTGATCTGAAATTAGTCAATAAAAATTTACTGAGCCCTTTCTAAATGCTAGGCACTGTGTTGGGCACTGGGGATACAACAGTGAGCAAGATACCTGATCAGTCTTAGCTCCCATAAACCTCACAATCCAGTTGGTAAAAAAAGTGAAAATCAACCAATTTCAGTAGCATGTAATAATCACAAAGATGGGAAAATGTTAAGAGCTATGGAATTTTACACAAGAAGAACCTGACAATTTAATGACATTGCACTGAAGGTGAGAGTCATTCCTAAAGCAGCCTAGTTATAAGGTTAATGACCATAGAGTAACAATGCTTTCACTCACATCATTCAATTACAACCATCAAGAATGACAGTACTCTGAAGCTTCTCTCACTTCAACGTCTATGTCAATGCTGTCACCCTTCTCCTCGTCATCTAAGTTTCTTCACAGTCCTTCCCACTGTATTTCAATTGTTTCACCAAGTTCTATAAACTCTTCCTCCATGTTGTTGTTGTTGTTAAGTTCTGTCAAATCAGTTCGGATTCATAGTGACCTTATGTACAACTGAACAAAACATTGCCTAGTCCTAAACCATCCTCATAATCATTACCATGTTTGAGCCTATCATTATAACCATGGTGTCAATCTATCTTATTGAGGGTCTTCCTCTTTTTTGCTGATCCTCTACTCTACCAACCATAGTATCTTCTCCAGGGAATGCTCCTTTCCAACATGACCAAAGTACTAGAGATGAAGTCTGGCCATTCTCGGAACAATGCAGCTTTACTTTCTCCAAGAGAGACTTGTTCATTCCTCTAGCAGTCCATGGGACATTCAATATTCTTTGCACAACTCAAATACATCAATTCTTCTGTGGTCTTCTTTATTCACTGTCCAGCTTCCACATGCCAGTGAGGGTACTGAAAAGACAATGGCTTGGGTCAGGAGCACCTTAGTCTTCAGAGTGACATCTTTGTTCTTAAAAAGTTTATTGTCATTAGGTGCCGTTGAGTCATCTGCGACTCATAGTGACCTTATGTACAGTAGAAAGAAACACTGCCCAGGCCTGTGCCAGCTCCACCATCTTTGCTATATTTGAGCCCATTGTTACAGCCACTGTTCCAATCCATCTTGTTGACGGCCTTCCCCTTTTTCGTTGACCTTCCATTTTACCAAGCATTATATCCTTCTACAGGGAATACTTCCTTCTTACAACATGACCAAAGTAGGTAAGACAAAGTCTGGCCATTTTCGTTTCCAATGAATATTCCAGCTCTACTTCTTCCAGGACAGATTTGTTAGTTCTTTTAGCAGTCCACAGTACTTTCAGCATTCTTCACCAACACTGTAACTCAAAAGCATAGACTCTTCTTCGGTCTTCCTTATTCACTGTCCAGCTCTCACATGCATATGAGGCAACTGAAAATACCATGCCCTGTGTCAGGCGTATCTTAGTCTTCAAGGAGAGATCTTTGCTCTTCAGCATTTGAAAGAGGTCTTTTGAGCAGATCTGCCCAATACGATACATCATCTGATATCCTGGCTGCTGCTACCATTGGTGTTGATTGTAGAACCAAGTAATGTAAGTCTTTGACAACTTTAATCTTTTCTCCATTTATCATAATGCTGCTTACTAGTCCAGTTGTGAAGATTTTTTTTTATTGAGGTGCAATCCATAATGGAGACTGTAGTCTTCAAACTTCATCAGTAAGTGCTTCAAGTCATCCTCACTTTCAGCAAGTAAAGTTGTGTTGTCTGCATATCACAGGTGATATGAGTCTTCCTCCAATCCTGATGCCAAGCTCTTCTTCATATAGTTCAGCTTCTCTGATTATTTAAAACTTGAAAGAGGTCATGTTCAGCAGATTTACCCAATTCAAGACACTGTTTCATGATTTTTTACCTACTGTTTCCATAGGTACTGATTGTGAATCCAAGTAAAATAAAACTCTTGACAACTTCAATCTTTCCCCCATTTGTCATGATGTTGCTACCAGTCCAAGTGTGAGGATTTCTGCTTTCTTTATACTGAGGTACAATCCATGGTGAAAGCTGCAGTGTCTTATCTTCATCTATAATTGCTTCAAGTCTGCTTCCCTTTCAGCAAGCAAGGTTGTGTCATCTGCATATCACAGGTTGTTAAGGAGTCTTCCTCCAATCCTGATGTTGTATTCTTCTATA